TCAGCCAGGCGTGAACGTCCCTGAGATATATTTACGCAAAATCTCCTGGGCTTCCTTCAACTGTCCTCATCCAAAGCCAGGATGAAGAAACAGGAATAGACCACTCAGTAAGGGGCAAAGTAAACTCTTACTCTTCTGTGAATACCGATACAGTTCTGGAATTTGAGTTACCACAAACAAGGAATGCACAGAGCATGGAAGCTGGGTGTTTACAAGGCTTACTAGTGAGCCAGGTCATTTTTCCCCAGTTACAATGGGGAGAATAAGAGTGATAACCCTGGTAAAACATTCTGGGAATAACAATGGTAACGTCAATTTCATTGCACTAGTGACAAATGTAGATGTTTTTGTTAGAGGAGCATCAAATTCTTCTTGCTTTGTGGACTGACAGTCTTCATTTCTTCAATCTTCAGTCTGACTGAAAAAAGATTTCTTCAGTCTTTTCATCACTTCAGTCTTCATTTCTTCTTGCTCAATTTCAAAAACAAAAAACAACAACAAACAGCTGCTTTCTAATGTACCAAGTACTATTTTTTCATTTTTGATTAAAAGGCCCACCTCCTCCTCAGCAGCTGGCTAGGAGGTTTAAATATGCTCTGCATGCCCTCCAAACATGCTACCTCCTCCTGAAAGTGATGGGATAGAGGAAGGCATTATTCATTTGTCACTTGAGAACCTACCCAGTTTCACTAACAGCTTTTCGAAAGGCACTGCCACACTATAAGAGTTTGAGTTCATCACAGCCTTCCTTCTACAATCCCTGCTGTACAGGATTTGTTAGCCCGAGGTATCTGCTGTGCTAATGAATGTCAGTAACACCTGAAAACATGCTTCTCAGAAACATTTTTGGATGCCTGCTTTTGTACCAGTGCCTACAACAAACTGATTTGCTTAAATAGGTGGGTGAAAATGTGTTGTTCATTTTACACAGATATCCATTTTCTACTCCCTGTATTCTTTTTGCCTTTTAACACCTAAGATTTATCAGGTGGAAATTCTCCCCCTTCCTAACTGTTCCCAGACAGCGTGCTGCCATTTTGGCATCCCAAGTAACAAAGCAGGGAGGGGGTTGTCTTCTGTGCGCATCTCCTTTGTTCTGTATTAATTGCAGAAATTAAATTTAGTTGTTCGTGCCTGGAGTAACTTGGCAAGGGAGGCTGAGGCAAGAACACCCTTTGTAAATAAAATTGTTAAACAGAATACAAAGTTTTGTATGGCCCTTTATGGGAGCATGCTCTTGGGACTCCCCAAAAATCAATAGACAAAATAGAAAACAGTAAATCAAATCAATAGAGTTTCTGCTCAGCTGTAGAAGTGAATAATTTACCTCATAGGTAGTTCTGGTTTTAGAGGGTAGCCAAGATCTGTGGTGAACAGTGAGAACAGGGACCATGGAGCAGTTCAGCCCCACAGCAGCAGAGTGAGAATCTGGAGTGAACCGAGTACAGATGGGCCGGACAGGAGAAACAGTAAAAAAGTCTCTTCCCCAGAGATGAAAAGATTATGTCAGTCTTCTCTGCAATGGTACAAATTTAGGTCTGTGACATGGCATTAGACTGCCACACTATGGCAGGACACCCTCCAGCCTCTCCTCTGCCTTAGTTTCCCTGGTAGTATTCCCAGTTTACTCTAGTGGTTTATGGCTTCAAGGTGGCTTGAAAAGGCCAACCCACCCCATCCCTCTGGTCTGCCCTCACAGAGTAAAAGCCTGAAGACGAGGTAGTCACACACAGCACTCCCCAGCACAGCCAAGTCCAATCTGCAGTGCCCCCAGAACAGCTCATTAACTTGCTCCCTGGGCTGAGCTTTCAGGTTCAGCCTTCCCTGTCTGCTGTGGCTCAACCTCTGCACAAAGCCTACCCCTCGCCAGGGAACTGTGGTTAACCAAACTTGTCTCAGATAGTTTCAGTTGGTAGCTTCCCTAGTTCCAGTTCCCAAATAAGAGTTCCCACCTTTCAGCCCTTCTAGCATGTGAGATAAAAAGCAAATTGTACTGGTGCAGTTCAGTGCCTACTGTAGGCAGTGGAAAGATGGTATTTTAAAAATGATAAAATGTTGAATTGGTAGCCCTTTTTTTTTTTTTTTTTTAATTTTATCTGCATACGCAGCAGTTACTTCTGAAATGCAATGAAGTCAGTGACTAGAGCCTATCATGGCAGGATGTGTGGGGGGGAGCTGCACAAGTGTCTTGATGGATAAGATACAGGGCAAAAGTGGAGACAGCTAACTCTTTGATGGAAAGACTAAGTGAAGAGGAACAATGAGAAGCAATTTGTACCTACACACAGCAATCAAAATGAAAACCCTGGGGTTTGAGAAATAATAGCTCATGATAACCAGAAGGTAAAAAAATGTGGTCTCATCTGATATTAAAGAATTATCATCCTTATCCACAAATAGTAGGACTATTGTTTTCAAACTATCCCCAGAGAATATGTATACTGCCCTAATGGCTTTGCAGCTATTTTTCCTGGCACATACTGTCTTGTCTTACAACATTCCTGTGCAAGAAATCCTGTCCTTTCTAGAAGTATCATCAGTGATTCTGTTAGAGGAAAAAAAAAAAAGGTAAGACAAGATTGTCAATCCATTCGTGGGAGAAAATTATGTTACTGCACTAATAAGCAGACAGCTTTATCATTGACTGCAGCTTAAGTCTCAGCAGCTCACATATATTGCACGTGTCCTTGCTTTGCTGTTCTGTCCTGCACTGTGCCCAGTGCTTACAGGAATCTGGACAGGATGAGTAGGAAGAAACAAACCACTCAGTAAAATCACCAAAATTTCAAAATCTTCTGTTGGAATTGTTTCCGAAGACAGCCTGAAAGAGTGAGTGCAGGTGAAAAACACCAGTGGATGTTTTAGCTGAATCTGTCATAGATTTCAGTGACAAGCGCCCTGCCAGAGACAAAATGGCCAATGGCAGCTGAAGCAGGAGGTGGCTCAGACTACAGCAGTGGGCAGGATTTGGACAGGGTTTGGGCAGGACCGTTGAGAACCGAGATGTTCTGAGGCGTTTCTCACTGCTGCAACTTGAGACCTCTAACACAGAGTCCAAAATCAAACAGACCTAATGCTTAAACTAGAAGAGAATCCACTGCAGCTCTGTAATCAGTGTCTCTGTGTACAGAGGTGTAAAGCCATATATTTCTTTATAAACTGCTCTGCTAGGGCTATCATCCAGCCTGTCATCACCTTGGACTTTGATTCCCCAAATGTTCGTGTGAGGCCTGTACAGAAACAGAGCTGCTTCTTTGTCTAGCTCTCTGCAGTAAGGACTGTATTAATACCTACTCTGCTAAATGCCTCGTCTGGATCCTCATGGACTTTGGTTTCAGTTGCTATGACATCCTTTCTCTCTGACCTTGATTAATGGAATGTAACAGGCAATTATCACAAGGATGCAGACAGGATGCAAGTGGGTTGATGTGGCTGTGCAAGCAGTTAACACCGTGACTACGTCCCACCCAGTCTGAGCCCTTTTCAGCTGGATCCTGCCCTCTCCCAGATCATTGCTTTGATGGCTATTGCTGGGCATCATCTTAGCTCCCTGTTTTCTATTAAATCATATATATATTGCCAGTCTTCACATCCAAGGGCCTCGATGGGATGTCTATCTCTAGCTTACCTGTCATCTTTCAGACAGTGCTGGCTTTCCAGCTCTCATACTCTGTCAGCCAGTGATGCTCATTTCCATCGTTCACTTAACACAGCTACCAACACGCATGATTTACTTGTCTTCGTGCAGTTCCTCATGCTGGTGGCAGTAGCAACAGAAGACACTGACACTAACTAGGCTGCAGGCATACAGAGCCTGCTGGCTGTATTGTCTGTGCTGACCTACATTGTCTTATTCTTACCTGCTACTTTCCTGCCAGTATGCCTTCACTTCTTCTCTCCATATACTTTGGTAAGTCCTCTGGAACAGAGACTTTTCGCTCCGTGCTGGTATAATGCATTTCTAGGCATGAGAGTAATGCAAACAATAAAATGGTGGACTTGTGCTCTCTGGTAACATCATAAATTTCCTCGTATATACTTACTTTTTTGCTGATGAATTAGTAGTTCAGTATGGCCACAATACAAAGTCAACTGAAGCTTGTTTTTTTTTTTTTGATATGTACGTAGATTATTTTTTTTAAGATTTTTTTTAAAAAGAATACAGAGAACCTTCTGTTCTAAATCAACAAATATCTAAAAACTAAACCTATATGAACTAAAATGATGGGAAACACTAGCACTTATCCTCAGAAAGCCAAACTTACTTTTCACTCTAATTTTGTAGTTGTGCCTGCTTTGTACAAAAGCGGCGGCATTCCTGTCCACTACTTGCAGATGATGCTTCAAATCATGAAATCACAGTTGGACAGTAATTTCACAGCACAGCAGACAAATGTAAACAAACATGCCATCTTTATTAAACTTACATGTTTTTCACTGAAAGTTTATGTGAAATTCACATGTGATTGGGAAGACTTTGCACTGTATTCTCTCTGCTCTTTGTAGATGACTACCACTTTACTTGAAACAACAAGCCACACTGAAACCATGCATCTTTAAATACAGAGTGAGTTTCTGGGCCTGATTACCTAAAGCAGTTGAGCTATTTCACACAGCACCATACCCCTTCCTTCTTGTGCCAACTGATATTTCAGAATGTCACCAGCAGGAAATGACTGACATCTCCCTGTCTAATGAAAACCTGGATCCCATGCTGAAAGACATCACATTTAGACAAGCCTTATCTCACTTATGAATGAAGGATTGAGCATCTTCTTATCCTGGTAAGAAAAGGAATGTTTTCTCTTTCTCTGCATAAGACTGCAGAACACACCAATAAAGAATGGACACAGAGGCATTTCTTGCTGATTACAGAAACATCTTTTTTTGTTGTTTCTGATTACAGGAACATTTTGCAGCATTTAGTAACAAAGCGTAGTTTTTTCAGAGCAAAATTCTCATCACCTTCTTTGCTCCCCCCAAAAAACATTACTCAGTCAGAAAGTTAAGACTCTGCCCTCCTTACCTGAAGGCTTTTTTATTAAATAAAAGCATTGTTGCTGCCTCATACACAAGAAACAAAGGTGCTTGATTTTATCATTGTTCATTTGTAGTAACCAATTGTCAGAGGGAACAAGTAGTGAGAAATAGTCATGTCTCGCTTACACATTCAACTGAAAATGGCAAGTTCAAAAAACCCTCACCATGCAATCAGTACAACCTATTGATTGCTCTTGCATTCCTGACTATGAACATACTTGATCTATCTGGTATTTTGTTTTCAAATTCATTGACTTGTGGCGGAATTACTTTCTTGCATTTCTTTTCAAGTGAGAAAACTGAACTCTTGATTTTACATTTCACAGGGAAACATCCTTGTTCAGCAATCAGAACTAGTTACTGTCATCAGACAGCTGCAATGGTCTTGATGTGCTCCGGAGTCTTGCAGACAGCAAGTCAACAATGATCACATTGGCTACTCTGTAAAAAGAATAGAAAAATAATCTCAGAGCAGCATTCTGAAGTTATGTACCAAAGAGATTCAAACCTGTTTTCTAAGCATATTTCACACATAAGGCATAGTGTGTCTTTTAGGACTTGACTTCACAGTTCACCAGAACAGATATTCCACAGAAGGTATGGAAAGTTTCTGGGTCATTCTGCCCTTACAGAAGTAAGCTGTTTTGCACTTTCATTGTGGATGAACTCTTCAGGTAACATAGATCAACCCAGGGATGGCAGCCAGGATCAGCCGAGACTCTCAGCTATCTGACAAGCCCATGACCTCAGGGCAGGTCTGAGGTAAAACTGTGGAGAAAAAAAAACAAAAACAGCAAGTCGGGGCAGTGAGAGTACCCAGAGCCAGACCAGTGAGGTCCAGAGCCAGGCACAAGCAGAGCTGTGCCAGAAACAGTGAAGGGCCAGACCTACACTTAAAATGGAGCCCTATAAGCAGAGGAGTGGATGGGCCCCCAGGCAAGGCCAGCCAGGGCCATTAAGACCTATTAACAGTGTCAGGGTCCTGACAGATGCTGCTTCTCAAGTTCTTGAGAAAGTCTTACTAACTTCTTCCTGCTAAAATGAAGTCTTAATAAATGAGCACATTTCTCAGGTACAGAGTGCTTACTGCCTTGCACTTAACTGCTCCTTAATACCCATCTAACATCTGGCCATTTATTTAGGGTCTTAATTTTAGAATCTTCCAACATTTTGGAAATTTGGAGCAAGAGATCTCAAGGGATATTTTTACTTCAAATCATCTGTTTCATTACTTTAAAGGAAGATAGTGGGGTTTAATATGCCTAAGAACAGAAGAATACCAGAATGACCATTCTGAGTCAGTCCCCAGCCGCAACCTCCAATATCAGGCTCAAAGCAGCATGCTAGGAAAGAGTGCAAGAATATGGTGAGATTGCTGCCAGAATAAACCTGCTGAGACACAGGCTCTTTACCTCCTTTTTCCTAGTAACTGGAAGAGAAATCTTTCCTCTCAAGATGTCACTCATGTTTTAGTGAGGCTTCTTTTGTGTAGATTATAAATAGTCTTATTAGAAGCTCTGATTTTTAGGATTTGAAGATATGAACTCTGGGACTCGTATTACAGAGAAGTACTTGCAACTGAAGCACTTGGAATGGCTAGCTGAGCATTTCAGAACAGGGGTTTTACACACTGCCCCATAGGTTGTTGGGCATTTAGTCCTTTAATGATCACCTGTGCTACTGCCTTCTGGTGCACTGGTTCCTGAATTTCTCCTCTGTACTTGTGATCACTTGATGCACTTCCATCAGACTATAAGATGGTTGGGCAAAAAATTTGAAAAGAAACATTTCAGCTTTATTATAGAATATCAGATACTCCATATCCCACTGATGGTACATCTTGCTCTCTTCAGTTTTGGGTTTTACAAATACGTGTGTTGTTTCAGTTGAATCTTACAAATTGTGTGTAGAATCCAGCAACTGAGCTGGATTATTTAAGTTCTGTCATTTCTGTAGGAGCAGCAGTTTTCAGTCACATGTAGCTAGCAATTTTTATGACGTATGAGCCAAGATGAAACTCAGCAGTTTGCCTTGATCATTTCTCTCTGTACTGTTGAAAGGAATTCAAATATCAGTACTCCTGTTAGCAATTTATATTAGAAAAATGGAGTGATGACTGTGGTATGAAAAAGCTCTTTCAACAGAGGTTTGGTTCCTTCCCCCCCCCCTTAACAATAAGTGTTTGAAAAACATGGTGTAGATGTAATGACATGCTACAGACTGGGCAGCAATGAGGACCAACAAAAGCCTGTAACTCTTATTTCTAGCTGCCTCAGAAGTGAAAGGAACAGACACCTTTATTTACCATGTCTGACCAACATGTGCTCTTTCCCCACCAGATTTTGCCTGAACATGCCTGAGAGTCAATTGATTATAAAACTATACTGACCCAATGTTTGTGAAGATGTAGATTGAACTTGTGTGGAGGTATTTGATCATTAAGTGCAGCTGTTACTGAAAGTCATTATTGGAACATATAATACAATGAGAATCTTGCAAGCTTTAATAAGAACAGTGTCATTCTGGGTTGACTGGGGCCATTGATTAGTATTACAAACAGTGTAGCAGTAAAAGCACATTTTTCCAGTGATTTTACCTGGTATGATTATCTTGTTTGATAAACAAGATCATCTGCTTCCCTGGGACAGTGTCCAGTTCTGGGTTCCCCAGTACAAGAAAGATGCAGACTTACTGGAACAAGTCCAGCACAGGGCCACATGGCTGGTTAAGGAACTGGATCATATTTTATATGTGGAGACGGCTATGAGACTCTTCAGCCTGCAGAAAAAGCGGCTTTGAGGGCAAGGTTCGATCTCAATGTGGTATCTGGTAGGAGGGAATGAAAAGGAGAGACAGACTCTTCTCAGTGATTTCAAGTCCAATAAAAACAAAAAACAAGCAAAACAAAAACAAGTTCCCTCAGAACACTAGAGGGTGGTCAACCACTGGGACAGGTTGTCCAGAGAGTTAGGGGAGTTTTGATCTTTAAGAATATTCAAAACTCAACTCACCGTAATCCTGAGAAGCCTGCAGGGAACCAGCTGTAGCTGACCTTGCTCGTGAAGGGAGTGGACTAGATCACAAGAGGTACTGTCCATTCTCAGTTTCTTTCTGACTGTACAAAGAAAACTAATTTCTTATTTACCAGACATCTACTAGCCAGAACAGCAGGAGGAACATAACAGATCAACAAGTCTAATGTAGATAATATTAAAACAATAGTCCTGCATGCTAACAAGCTCAGAACTCAGCTTCAGGCACACACAAAAAAAATATGGAAGAGAAAATCTGAGAAATCTTTCTCCTACCACAGAGTGAATGCTGACATGAAGAGTTAAACACTGGATACTTATTCAGGCTGCTAATTCCATTCATGCTTTCAGAATAATGTAATTCAGAACTTGATAGCATTTAGTTATAACTTTCTCAATTCATAGACATGAACAAATAGTAGCCCAAGTATATTTTTGAAGGGATGCAAGACATGGACTCCTGATGGCTCTTGAACAGAAGACATTTATTACCCTTTTTCACTACATATACTTTCCCCATAGCCCCACATGCTGTCCACACACCCACATCTGTTATACAATTGCATAGAGACCCTCAGACATGTGCCTCAAGCCAGCCAGCAATTGCCCACTGCCCCAAAGCTCATCTTTAACACAGCAGCCAATTTACTTTATCTCAATGTCACTCAAGTTTTCATTTCTACCACTTGTTCCCTCATTATCTCTAATTCAGGGACACGTGAAACAGCATGGAGCCACCTGCAAATTCCTTTCCCACTTATTTTTCCCAGCACATTGCCATATACTAATAGCTCCTTCCTTGAAATAAAGTATGCTAATGGACAAGTCAGAGAAGTTTTGTCCAACCATCTACCAGTTGTTTTCCTGTTCTGTCACTTGAGAAGTCACAATGGAAGCACCTATTGTCATTTAGTATCTATTAATATATTTAACTGTTAGCATACATTTTACACTCAATTTTGTCTAACAGAAGATTTTACTAGATAAAACACTTTGTAATAAGAAAATGTAGTATGTTGAGTTAGCTCCTTTATTGCTGTCCAGTAGTCTACAGCAACCTCTCCCTTTATTGCTAAGAAGTTCTACTAGAAATGTATTTGTTTCACATTAGAAAAAGTAGATTTAGTGCCATTCTGATACAAGAACATGGTTGTCTGCCAAAGGAAGCTTCTAAGATGCTAAGGAAACCCCCATGAGACAGGGCCCATGTCCTTTATCAGAATAGCCGTGCCTGCTGTAATTGATATGTTTTGCTAGTGGACACAATGCACAGATGTTCTTGGTAGCACAGGTGCCCCTCTCCAGCTGAATACAAGACAATTATAGCACAATATCAATTTAAGAGTATTTTCAGACAATAAAAAGCAAGAGCATCCACTTCCACACATGTAATTACTCTGACAACTTCTGTGCAGACGAGCACTTAAACAGTGTTCATTGTTAAACTGAATCTGAGTTTCAGGCCAGTGGTCCTTCTGCAGCACCAGGGTTCCTGCAGGTAAGGAGTATGTCAGTCTGGCAGCTTGGGCTTCCCTGCATCAGCTCCACACAGCCCTGGCTGTTAAAGACCATAGTGATTGGCTTGCCAGGTCTTTCACCCTTCTCTGAACTATTTCTCTTCAGTATCTGACATCCTTGTCTTGATTGAACAAGATATAGAAACAACCCCCCTCTTTGACTGTTTCTTTTTCTAAAGAAAAGACAGTTATTCAGTGGACAACAGTCCAACTGCTTTGAAACTTTTCTGCATTTAAGGAAGAAAGCTTTCTTCAGGCTAGTCTGCAATTTCTAGAATTCTACCAAATATTTGTTTATAACAGATGTTTATCATGTTTTGCCAGAGGCTTGAACAGTTGGCAGCTTTTCCTAAGCATCAACTGTTAGCACAAAAAGTACAGGAAAGCTGACATACCTGCCCTTTTACAACAAATCATGATGAAGAACATTGCCAGCTATAACATGAATTTTTCATTTTCCCTTTACTGAATTTCAGAAGAAATTTAGCATTTAGTGCAATGAGTTAGCATTGTATGAGGCAGGAGATTAACACTGAATTAGCAGGAGGTTTAGTTGCTTAAATTCAGCATACAACTTCACACTGATTTATTTTCCAGTAAATAAATACTACTGAGTTAATTGAAATTAAATCTTTTTCCTTTACAGATAAGATACGCCTTCCAACTACCTGCATCCACCCAAAGAAGTTTCTGCTGCACTTCAAAGTGACTGCTTAACTCTAGGTCTCCTTGCAGAAAAATAATGGCTAAAGAGGTGACAAGGTCTAATGCAGAAAGGCATAACCAGGACATGTGGAACCAGGTATGTTTAAAACTGTTGTTTTGTAACTCCTCTTGCACAGTCACCTGCACTTGATGATTTAGAACATGCACAGGCCTTGGTTTACATAGGCATGTGACATTCATACTATCCTGTCCCACAACCGATGGAGGTGGCACACGTTTCTAACAATTAACGCAGGTAGCTAGATCTTAGAGAAATTTAATAGATAACCTAGTATTGAGTAACATTTCTCAAAAATACTATTTAGCGCTTCAAGAAATCTGGCCTTGACAAATGGTATAGATTATCAATGCTAATGGCCTGAATGACATCCAATTAGAACTATAGAACAAAAATAATGAGGGACTTAAAAACATAGGTGATAATTAGGTTAGTCAACAAAGTGTCTGTGGTCTAACCGAAGACATAACCTATAAGACACCTGTAGAATAGCATGCAAAAAAAGATGTATTTGATCTGTACTGAATATGGAGGTGCTAATGTCTGAGGTATATTTGTTCAATACATAAAGTAATTGGAAAACGCAGAATAAGAGATGATAGCTAGAGCAACATGCACATTGTACAAATTACTAGTTAAAAGTAGCTTTATAACCTTTAGATTCAAGGGACTGAGGAGCTAGATCTGGTTGTGTGGGGATTGGTCACAGCCTGGATAGCACCCTACTGTAAGGCCCTGAATGGAACACAAATCTAGTATGGAGCCATTATGTACCTGGGCACTGCAGACAGCTCTGTCCCTCAAAGGGGTGGCATGAGGAGCAAATGGCTGTTGCAGTGGATGAGGAGGAGGCAGCTCCAGCATCAGCAGCAGCTTGCAGTCCCTTGACAGCAGTAACAGCCAGGGCCAGAGCAGCTCATGGCCAGTGGCAGAATCAGGCTCTAGAAGGAACAACGAATATGAAACACCACCATTACCTTAGATGAAAGGAAAACTCAAGCATGCACAGCATTACATTTTTGCCCTACCTTGAGTTTTCTAAAGTTTAGCGCAAATTCCTCTTCCACAGAAAGTAGCTGGAAAGCGCATAACATTTAGTTGAGTATTACAAAAACAGTAGTTAAGGGGAAAACCAGACAGTGGAATAGGACAGACGAGCAGAGGAAGGGAAGGAGCCTAGCAAGGAACCAAATCAAGCAGTAACATACCATTCATCTAATAACAGTAACAAGAGGTGCCAGTTCTTTATATTTTAAGAGCAGAAATTAATCTACTCACAGCATTAATCGGTAATGCCTGAAATCAATATTGTAACAGACTAATGGATCTGAAAAGTCATTAGTGGCATGTAGGAAGCTTACTTCCTAAAAGTAATCTGCATGAACATTAACATTAGAGCTAGTCAGAGAATATATAATCTTGCCTGTGCAAAACCTGATATTAAATCTTCCCAATTAATTTGAAAAGCAAATTATTCCTATAAAAATCCTAAAATTCCTTTTAGTAGGTCCCTCAAAATTTTGGGGGTAAAGCTTCTGAAGTAAAACATTTTTCTCAGAAATATTGAGGAAGAAAACAGATTTAACTTTTTCAGGATTACATCAGTAAAATTCTTAGAAAATATCTAGCTCAACTGTCTTTTTACTGATGGGCAATATGTAGAAATTTATTTTAGTAAAGCTCTATCTAGCAGCAAAAGTTAATGATATGGGAAATAATCAAGTACAGTGACTACACCATCTTGATTCCTTTGCTTTTAGCTAGATAAAGCCAAATAAATTTCTGTTTTATCAGGAAATTGAAAGGCTGCGGCATTACAGGAACATTGTTGCAGACTTCATTATTCTTTAGTCTTACCATAACCCTTGGAACCTTTCTTCTAATAAAGAAAATCAAATGTATTTTTATAAGGAATATCTACTGACACTGAGCATGTTGATCTTGCTAATAGTTTTGACATAATACTTACATGAGAGGATTACAACTTCGTAATGAAAGTTTGTCACTGAAATTATCTGTTCAAAGAAGGGACTCCTCTGAAAGAGCAGCTGTACTTCATCAAGAATGTCCTTTGCATCCAAAGCAGATGAAAAAGGTCACTCCCAGGATTTGCTCATGGAAGACAGATGCTGCTATTAAAAGCCGATACTTGTTGCTATCCTGTTTCTGTGCTCATTCCTATCACTTATGACCCTACAGAAGACAACTCTGTTCTGGAAAAAAAATGCTCTGAAATTCTGTATGAATTATTTTTAAAAGTAACCTGCAGATATACAAGACCTTCAGAACGTAGCACAAATGCTGATTGTTACATTTCTCCTCACCCTATGGGAGATTTAGTAACTTCAAGCACTGCTATTAATTTGCTTGTATTTTATTCTTTCAGTCCATTTCTTTTCTTCCTTCTTTATGCCTCAAAGTTGCTGTTTTCTAGAAAAGTGTATTAAAAGAACCAAGTGTGAGATCTAACTGGAAATAACAAATTCGGTTGAATACATCTATAAATAAAGCAAATTCTAACAAAACTAATTTCTGAACACCTGGCAAGTTCCAGAAGCATTTATAGATAAAAATATATTTTAAAACATTATAGAAAACCTGTAAGAACCCGTGTAACATAGCTTAACTTAATTGGTATCGCTTATTATCTATAAAAACTGATAACGTAGTCCCAAGCTAAAAGGACATAAAGTTTATAGTAAATAATACTAAAGTATGTGTTAAATTGCATTAATGTTAATGGTATCTGTGTGTTGCAGATTAAACAGTTACTTTATCAATCCCTCTTCTTGTTAGAAAAGTAAATATTGATATACCTGTTTCACTAACAGATCCTTGCTAAAGAAGTGAATAATTTACAGTACACAAAGTCTGGAGGTATGGCTGTAATGAAGTAAACTAAAGTATACTCTGGGTAAAAGCAAAAACTGCCATTAAACCCCACAGTGATAAGGACTGGAAAGAGGGTTGAGTTCTTTGAAGAGTTAGTATAATAAGATAGAACCACTTTATATGATGTAGTACATACCAATCTACCAGTTCAGAGCATGTCATCCTAGGGGTTTGAAGCCAGTTGAAAACACTAGATATACACTAGTAGAAGAAACTAGCAGTGGGATGGGCCCTCAAAGAAATTGTGCTCAGAATTACTTAACTAGCATTCTGTGAAAGACAGAGTTCAAGCATCAGTTCATTTATTTAAAATACACTTTTCTGTTCTTGTTGCACTGTAAGTTTTTCCTTAATGCTGAAGTAACTTCTACTCTCACCATTCCCCTTACTCTCTTTTTCTGGACAGACACCACCCCCCCTCCCCCCCCGCATCGTTCTTTCATTTTCTTCCCATCCTTCATTTCTTCTTCTATTCCAAACAGCATCTTTCATTCATTCTCCTCATTCTTACTTAATCCTTTCTTCATTTTGTTATATTTCAGTCTGGGAAAAAATAAATATTTACCTTTGTAGGAAACTGGAAAAGCACAAAAGCAAGCTATTTTTCATAACAGGATAACAGAGAAGTGGTGAACCATGTCTGCAGCAGCCTAATTTCTGGAAACATAACAGTCCTTGAAGGGAATTATTCAGAGTTCATCTGCCAGTCCCACTGATTGTGCATTCAGGAACTCTTTGTGTGCTCAGAAAACTAAGAAGCACACTAACTTTGTAACAAGACCTTTGAGACACTATCACTGCAACATTTAGCACAAATTTAAGAACTTATCAGCTAATTAACAAAGAATACATTGTAGAGATATTAATGACAAAACGAGAACAAGGAAGCATGGATTTCCCTCACAAACACACATTACTACATGTTTCTGCATGCAGCGCACCAGTTGAATTACAGTCATTTGGAACAGCCTGCATTTACTCTGAAATTAACAATTTTTAAGAAGGTTCATGCCCAGTGCTAGAAAAATGTAACTAGATATAAGACCCTTGCTAAATACATTTTGACATTTTATTCCCACTTCAGTTTTAAAACAATATCATTGTTTTTAGAAGCTCAACAAATAGCATTAAACTAAAGGAAGTTTTGGAGGTACTTAGTAAACTTTTTTTTTATAGTCTAATACAATCTATTGAAAACTAAACAATGTAACTGGGTTGTGTGTTGTTCCTTCATTTGATTATATTGTTCAAGCAAATGCAATCACAGCAAGATTAACTTGTCTCTGATATAAGACACAGGGCTCAGCCAGAGGCAGTTGTTAGTTTGGTATCTGTTTTACATGCAATTACCTGTTTAAGTCAGAACTATCTGACATGAACAGGGGGTAGCTTGTTTTACATGTAACAAGGGCAAGCTGATTTCTCTGAATATGGTTTCATTTGACATTTTTACATTGAAAGCATTTGAAAGGGAACAATCCCCTTACTTACTACCTACTTTATCACATGACAATACTACAGTGCCTTGACTTCATCTTTTCTGCAGCAAGATATCCAGTATATATTTGTTACTTTATAGGAAATACCTTTCTTTAGTGAAATGATAGCCTCAACTATCAACTGAAGGCTTTCTGAAACAGTACAGCGATAAGTGTTGTAGCAAAGAGTTCAAGTCCTTAGAAAGACCTCTTGCCCATTCACAGTTCTTTTGTAATACATATTCTGTACTCACCTCTTTCCTTTCTTTGTTCTCATCTGCAATAAAAACATACAACAACTTTCTGAATCTATAGGAAAATAGTGTTCTACCACTGAGCCTATCCTCTCATCAGAGAGCCCATGGAGGACCAGGTTTCTCATACTTCTTTCTCCCTTGGTTCTACTTTGAAAACAACACTTGCTTCAATCTCAGTAGTATCTCCCTTAATTCCCCCCGCCATCATTTGGCAAAAAAACAAAACACATCATTTGGTTTGAGTAATTCTCAGTGCTTGAAAAGCAAGTTCCTCCATAACACACCATTCATTAACATGATTAGATTATATTATCTATTAGATTATGATTAATCACTAAGATCTCTAGGAAATTTGATTTTAAGTGAGGCACATACTGCTTGTTACTTAAAGCCACCTGCTGTAGTAAGGTTGGAAATTATTCAGCTGCTATGAAACAGTACCACATGATCAGATTTTTTTGCTAGCCCACTTACCAATTTGATTATAGCAAGAGGGAAAAACAGCAGCAAAAGCATTTCTTAATTGTTAGAAAGACTAGGAAAAAAAAACAAAGAACAAATCACCAGTGAGGAACACCGCCTCATGATCATTCACCACTTAAGAAAGGTCCTCAGTTGGAAGTTGCACTAAGGTTTTTTGATATCTTTATGGCCAACTTGGTTCAACAAAGAAAGGAAACCATTACAGTAATCCACAGTAAACATCAACATTTGTTTCTATCCCTTTTCATAATGTACTACAGCACTGTCCAATTCAGACTGTAAATTGTGATTAGCAAAGAAAACACCAGTTAGGCTGTTTCTCAGGAATCCTATGGCTCTGTCACAAAACTAGAGTTACAACAAGAGAGACCAATCCATGCAGAGTTAAGCTTGAACATGCTTGAACATAAGTAGCCTTTCCTAAGCAGAGCTTTATTGCAAGGACTCTGACTTGAGTTCAAACAATAGTAGTAGCTCTCAGTTGCATTTTCTAGAAGCAATGTTTAGGTATGATAAATCAACGCATCCTAACACACACTGGTGGTACTCACTCAACATCCATCACCTAAAATTGTGAGTTGAGAGGACCTGTACATACTTAACTCTATTACCTCCTTCTGGTCTAAGAGGAGCAAGCCTTGAAACTCTTGACCAGCGTGCTGGTTTTACCATGCTGGGCAGCTAAACACCACAGCTGCTCTCTCACTCTCCCTCCTTAGATGAGGAGGGGAAGAAGTAAAGCAAAGGACAACTCATGGGTTGCAATAAAGATAATTTAATTAAAGGGAAATATAATAATTAAAGAAAGATTATTATGAACTAAACAATTTAACTAAAGGGAAATAAAAAGGGAAAGGGGAAGAAAAAGGAAAACAAACAAATAAAACAAATGAAGGCTATGTGGAAGTGCAGAGGAAAGAAATTACTCTCTACTTCCCACAAATGAGTGATGATTGACCACATCCTTGAAGCAGGGCATCAACACATAGCTGGTGTTCGGGAGGAGGACTGATGTTTTCACAAGAGCCCACCCCTCCCCTCTTCTTCCTGTTTCCACCTTTTATTGCTGAGTGTGACATCATATGGTATGGAATATCCCTTTGGTTGGTTTAGGTCAGCTGCCCTGGTGATGTTTCTCTTCTCACTTTTTGCCCACCCCCTAGGAGGACTGGAGAAAGGCCCAATGCTGTGCTAGCACTGCTCAGCAGTAGACACAACACTGGTGTGATAACACTGCTGTTCAGCTACAAGTGCAGAGCACAGCACTGTATGGGATGCTGCCAGGAAAGTTAACATTCCAGACAGACCCAGTACAACCAGGAATGAGCTCAAGCAGAGTCCTTGTCTTTCAGCTTTTTAAGTGCCTAAGAATCACAATGATAACAGGGATATTATCATCTTACAAGTAACAGATTGGATAAAATTGTTTATGGGCTTATCACTTAATAGTGGAAACTCTTACTTTGAGTTATTACTGAACTAGTACTTCAAACATGTATGTAGGAAAAGCATTAACACCAATTTGAGTTTCATAGAAGAAGCAAGTTCAATTTAAACAATACTGTGATAAAAAAAAATGTGAATAAGAGCATCGCAGTTACAGACAGAAGGAAATATTTTCCTAATGAAGTAGGATAATTGTATATAAGGCTTAAATTAACATATAATTATCATTTACAGTAAAACTGAGCGTAACAATCTGAATTAGTGCGTAAAGACTCTTCAAACAATAGCAGAAACAATATGCAATGCAACAGCATGAAACTCTTACTTTCTCACGATAGAAGGGTTTTAAGCATGATTCACCTATGGAAATATTATTCAATTAATTCTGTTCCTGTAGCCCATATTGAATTACTAGCATTCATTTAAGAATATAAGAATAGGAGTACTTAACTCAAGATACTACTTTCAACAAGTGAAACCAATGCAGAAAGCTTTGTGCCAGGAAACACAGAGGAGCAGCAGCTCCCTAAAAAGCTACAAACCAAATATGGTAGCAGTCAGGAGAACCAGAACTTCCATCAGCCAAGGCCCAGCCAGTCCCCTGAACCTCAGAAAAACAAGCAGGAGAAAAACCAGCCCAAGGAAAGCAACTAGCAGTGTTAGTCTTCATATGTACTCTTAAGAGCAATAGAGGATTATATGATCTAAAATCAAGTTAAGGAACCACATCAGAATTAGGTCTAAGGGATATTCAAGGTCAGATATAACTTAAAGAATACACCTGAAATCACCCTAAAAAAAGTTTAAGTCTAGCTTAACAAAATATGGCAGTACTAAAACTCACACACCAACTCAAACAAAGGGTAAGCTTTTAAGGCTGAGCTTAAATAGAGCTTCTGGGCCTGTGGGCAGAAGGCGTGGGTGGAAGTACCAGCTGGAGCTGACGAGGGCAGTTAAGGCCTGTTAGTTCACTCAAGGCACCGACATATTGAAGGTGTTTATTGCTCCCATGAGAGTGGTTTATTTACTGCTATCTGTGCAGCTATTCTATTGCTATTTCTTGTCAGATGTGATAAAGTTTAAACAAAAGAAGAAGCCTCTCTTTCAAAGTTGCACTCTAGTAGAGCAAACTTGAAATGTTTGTTCCCAAACATTCCTCATGTGATATTTAAAACCACCACAAACTCTCTTCAAGCTCATGATGTGAATGATATTTAAGTGATTTTCAACTCCTCTTTTATTCTAAATTGGACTTTAACAAACCACCAGGTGAAACAGCCATGAGGCTGTTCCATGTTTCCACTCCTTTTATCAACAGAGCAAGAATATTCTGAATCAGGAAAACAGAAGGCATCAGGAGAAGAAAACAGAAGAATCAGGAGCGAAGGAGAACTGGCCATACTGATGGAAGGATCATACTGTGGCGCTCCTGCCATTTTCCAAACAGTAGCTGTATGGCTGCAAATGAGCACAGGCAGGACAAAATGTTCTGAGCTGTCACAAGGCTGACAGAAATGTGATCACATGCTGAGCAGGCGCGAGTGATGTGCAGAGCCAGCTGTGCCAGTAACTGCTTGAAAATTAAAGTGTGGAAGCAATGGGGCCTATGTAGTCCTGTGGTATCTGTTTGAAGCAGTACAATTCTTCCAAAATATCCTCGGTATACAGTGCTTGAGAAGCTGTGGATTCTCTGAAGAACTACGTTGCTTTTTTACCTTTTATTTAAGATAAATCAATTATATGTACCAGGGCCAGGAGGGACTAGGCCTTAATAGCAGTAACCAACCTCAGGTGGGACCCACACCCACACACATACTTACTCTCTGACTGTGGACCAAGGAGCTCTACTTAAGCTCAGTTCAATATCTGTTTGAATTTGGTTGTAGAAGTGCTATTCTGTAACTCAGCTGTGGCCTTCTTGGTTGTTGGTTCCAGTCCTAATTTACAGGCTGGCTTTCTATCTTGGTTTTAGGTTCATCCTTGTTGTCATGCATCTACTGAGTGCCCACCAAGTTTTGTTTGACTGTGGTTATTTCTGCTAGATTAGTTCTGGCCTGAAGGTTGATTGCCTAGCTTGACCTTGGACCTCCATCATCACCAAAATTTGCTGTATAATCCAGATGTTTAATCAAATTTGGCTACTATTCTTGAGTCAACCTTGCTCAGGTAACGGAGGGCTAAATGCTGCTAACCTTGTTAATGTATTTAGCTCCTTGTTTATTAAACAAAAGCTAGTTCTTGCTGTCTCCTGACAAAATGAAGTTTAGTAGCAATAGAACTAGTTTGTATGACTTTCAGACATCTGGAATGACTGTATTTATATTCAATAGAAAATCTCAATGCTCTTGTTACCAGTGCTTTACAGCTCATGGAAATCCCTATGCTTGTCTTCTTCAACTGTCCTTCAGGTCATTCTTGGAGTTTGTCACTTCTGTAACCCATGTTTAAACTGCCTCTTAAAGGTATGGTTCTTTTTTCCCTACCCTGAGGTGCCTGTTCTAGGTGCCAATATGAGCAAGCATGCAGTAAGGCAGTATAGAGAATTGAAAGCCAAGGATAGAAAGCTGACGGAGGCTGAGCATAAGGGGTGAGACAGGCTTACCTAAGCAAAAGAGATTAGGTATCAAACTTCTTGTAGCTTTGCTTCTATTTATGCAAAAGTCACAAGCTGGCTTTGGTTGTTCTTCTACCACTTCTGAAAGCGATTACAGGGAAATTATTTGAGTGAAAACTTTATTTAGTGCTTGAGACAGCCCCTGCTGTCAAATCACAGTGGTAAAATAGTGACAGGACAATCCATGGATTACAACATGTAGTTGTTTTAGTCTTTTCTTGTCTTATCTTAAAAAATGTTGCTAAAATGTTTGTTATGAATTACAATGGGCCAAACTGCAACTCAAATGTGACCACTCCTGTAGTATCAGTCAGGTCCTACCGTACTTTACAAGGGAGGCCTGCCAGGCCAGATACTGTTCTCAGAAAAGTAGCCTGCTGGGGAACATTCCCTTCTCTCCAGAGCAGTGTTTTTTACCACTGAATGACTTCTTTTTAATGAGTATCTGTAAAAGATGGCAGCTTTGCATTCAGAGTGTCAAAAAGAGGAATTTCCTCTGTCCAAAGCCATACCGATGGAAGACAAAAAAAATGTTAGCAAGGCAAGAGCAGTATTTTCATTGTGTACTTCAGAAATTGTATGTGAAGTAAGAGTTGTGCAAGGCTACTCAGAAACACAGGCTGCCTGAGTCCCAGCCTCATCTAGAAGACCTATCTGTGTCTTTGCTTGCACAGGAGAAGGCATTCTCCTGGAAAGAAAACAGATTAATTCTGCCTGATGGTTATTACTAGAGAAGATACTGGCTGTATGGTAGCAGAATCTGTATTTGTGAATGTGAGTTATCAACTCTTCTGTCTATGGTAGTCCTTTTGTTCTGTGTGAGAGCTGTGAGTTAACTGAACAACATATATTGAATTCTGGTGTGTGGTGGGGTGTGTTGGCAAACTCTATAGTGGAGTGGGATCGATGATGCCAATACAGCAGTTCCCAGTCAAGCTAAATTTGCATTCCTCATGAAGTGCTACTGCTGCCTCTGCAGGATTCAATTTCCTTTCTATTTTTATATGATTTTCTAAGTCTGTAGTTAATATTAACTGACAGGGCTAGCCGAGAATCTTGGTATTTCCTATTACAGTTAATTAAGGAAACTACTAATTAATGTACAGACAGATGCTTTGTGGTAAATTGCACTGCATGAATATCATTGCCTTCAGTGCTAATTCTTATTCCTACTGATTACTGACTCTGTCTTATACTATAAGGTGCTAGAAGCATGCGTCAGGCTTTCTAGCAAATAGATGTGTTAAGAAAGTAAAGAAGCTTTTATTTTTAAGTTTTTGACTATTTTTTGAGTCAGTTGTCCAATATTTTTTTTTTTTGTACCTAGAATATGTGGGAGCTTGTATTTCTAAGCTTTATTAGTGGAGCTTTGAGAAGAGCGTAGACGGTGAAGGAGGACTTACATTCATCAAGAACTCTTGCAGTGCACCTTCGTTGTTACCAAATTGGTGTAAGATTCTAACCTAATGTAGAATCCAACTTCTCGTTTGTCTCCAAAGAATTGTATCTGAAGAAATTGCCATCAGGTAACCTCAAGAATGGGCTGCTCCACAAGGGAAGGCTGACGGGAAGGTAGGCAGGACGGTGACCTTGCCAACGAGGGTTGCAATTCCATGAGACCTGTGTGGCAAGAAGAGCCAGCATAGCTATGGATTAGAGGTTGCACTTCAAACCTGTTGAGCCAGACCAAGTATGAGGGCCTCAAGTTAAATGCAGCATGAAGTAAGGCAGAGAAAACCTTGGTGAGGCTTCTCACAGCTCTTGCACACAATGTGTTTGTCTGCATCATGTCTGAGCTGGCCATGAGCACAGGCAGCCAGAGTGGGGTGGCGGAACCTGCTGGAGCACTGCCATAGCAGTTGTAAATGACTCTGTTCCTGAGCTGTTTCCCAGACAGGAGGTAGGAATTCAGGTTAAATGGGTCTACAGTCTGATGTGGTACAGCCATTGTTAAGGTAATGCGTTAATAAAACTTTCTGGTTTTAAAATCTTAATCTGACCATGCAATAGCAGGACTCCAAAATTCATCTGAATGAACTGCCTCAGATTGAGCAGATTTAAAGCGTAGCATACTTTTGTAGACTAGTGCTTCCTTATTAGCTGTCAGCATATAAGGCTGTATTCATAAAAGCAGGTAGCTGTGATCTGAGGTACAAAGCAGCATTCTCTAACACCTCATGGAGTAGAATTGTTTCCTGAGAGACTGGCTGTTTACCTTGTCCTTTGTCTGATAGTTTGCTTCCTGTTCTCTAGGAAGGGACACGCTGGGGTCTCCTGACTCATACCTTAGCAACAAGCAGAATGTTGTATTTGGATTGTAATGTGTCTGAAGACAATGCAACATGAGCCGAGAGGAAGGAGATGTGTGCTTGAGACAGATCCTTCTCAGTTGTCTCCTGCAGGAAGAATATGAGAGCACTCTAATTGGAGTTGTACCAGTTTGCTCTGTTCTGCCCACACTTGGTCCCAACAGGGGGGACACCATGGCAGGTCTGGCTCTTGCAGTCCTGTCCCTGAAGAGCCAGCTTCAGTATGCTGACTCAGACCAGAGACATCCTGCCTGAAGTACAGGTGCAGCCCTCAGCTTAATCAGTGGAGCTGGTACTTTGGAGAGGAGAAAAAAGCTTTGCTGTGTTTATAAACTTCATTTGAAATCAAGGAAACACAGCAAGTATGGCCTGAAGGCAATAAGAGATTAATGCTTGAACTGACTCACCGATAGGCAGTTCATTCAGTTGAATTTCCGAGTCTTGTTCTTTTATGTCCAAATTATCAAATTGAAGGTACTACAGCTCAATCAAAACTACTAGCAGGCAAGCTCAATGCTAACTTGCATTGTTTCAAAAAAAAAAAAAAAAGATTTTGGAATTGAGCGTGGAAGATGAGCAATCAGTACAAATAAACAGGACATAAGTTTGATACAGCATGATTGTACTTGGCTGAGTATCCTTTAAAACAAGAATATGGCAAAGCACAGTCAATGGATTGTGACAAGCTCCATTGCACCAGCCTGCTTTTCTAGCCATGTTGTACTTTTGCCTTTATCAAATACCATATATTCATATCTCAGCGTGGTTAGCCGTGATTATGATCATCCTGATATCTGTTAAATGAGCTGCTTTTTACCAAGTGTAGTTTCCAAGACCATTAAAAACAAAGACTAGGGCTTGCTATTAACAGCACAAAGGCAATCCATGTACCTCCAAATTGTTACCAGTTCTTTATTTCCTCTCCCTGGGAGTGCTGCAAAAACATATCCCATAACACACTTTTTCTATTCATCTGAATAACCAGCGGTGTGCTGAGACCTGTTATTTCTATTCATGTGCTGTAGTTGCCCTAACCTATAGTGTTGGTTTTACAGAAAATGCGGTATCCTGGGGGCTCTAATTTAGGTGCTAATAGTATAGACAGATGAAGTTAATATATTCTAGGGTAGCTATTAGTGTATATATATGATACCATCTTCAAAAAGTGTGTGGGTCCCTTGGCACTAACCTGTATATGTAGTTTATCATGGTAATCCTGGTGAGAAGGGACTTCAGGAGGTCACTCATCGAACCTCCTGCTCAAACCATTGTCAGGTGTAAGGTCAGGTTGCTCAGGGTTTTATCCAGTTGGGTCTTGAAAACCTTCAGAAATGGAAACTACACAGTCTCTCTGGGTAACTTGTTCCTTGGCTTT